TATATATATATATATAATTGAACATTCAAAGAGAATTTCAGCCAATAAATAATTTACATCAAGCTATAAAGCTTAGATTTTTAGTTTTCAAAATGTTAACAAGTAGTCTTTTGGTTCTTAACAAAGTTTGTGTTACACATTAAAGAATAATAGTAGTTCATGGTGTATGTTTAAGTCCAAAGACATGGACTGTTCTGATTTTTGTTTAACATTTTTTTTGCTTATTTTTTATACTCCTCTTAAAGTTTTTTCATTTGGAGCCCAATTCTTATACAAGTTAATAAATAGCATGTCTGGTATATATATATCTATCTATCTCTTTAGTTTTTATTTGTATCAGCCAATTATTTTATAAAGTTTGTTCTACTTACTTCCAGCAATGTTTGTTTTTAGCATATGACAATGAACAGTTGTGTAAAACATTAGGCTTAAATACTACAGTAAGTTGTAAATTTGTTATTGTCGTGGTTAGTGACTTGTACAACCTTTTATGTCTGATTATTAATTGGTGACTTTTTTTTTTCCATAAAACTAACTAGATACTAATTACTTTTTAGTTCTTATCCTACAATTTGGCTGCTAATCTGTTGTGGTCTTCAGAGAAATCCTGAGAAGGGCTATTTCTCTGTTGGTAGTGACTGTAAGTACTTAATGACCTGGTATGGCCCCATATTTTGTAAGAATTTTACAGATTTAGGAAAACGTAACTCTAAATTAGTTTAAGAAAATAATCAATTTTCTTCCTTCCATAAATGTAAAGATCAGAACGTAGATGAGAAAATGGTCAATAAATTACTTAAATTTAGTGATGATATCGGGGTTTGGGTGTTTCTGGCTGTAAGGAGGAGGATGCTTTACAAAAGATGATAAACACCAAAAATAGACAAGAAAATTTCAGACATAAAGCCATATTTCGTTATATCAGAGGTCCCTTTGAAAATATACAGAGGATATGTAAATAGTATAAATTCAGGATAATATTTAGAAGCAACCAAATTACCTAAAAACCCAATGGAGAAGAAAAACACCATTTATAACATCCCTTGTGCATGTGGATTCCAATACACTGGAGAAACAAGATGATCAACAAAAGGTAGAATTTAGGAACATAGTAGACAAGATTTGATAATACCAACTTGTCTGCAGTAGTCCATCATGCTAGAGAAGACCATATGATAAAGTGGAATAATATTAAAATCATAGGATATGAAACACACATGAAAAACAAAAGAAACCTTCTACATCCACCTAACCGATAATACACTCAGTCAACTTAGCACAGAAGTTAGCAAAATCTTGATACCCCTCTTGAAAACATCCAACTAATTATTTTATTGAATTTTTAATAGGGGGAAACCCAAGTCAAGTAGATAACTCACAAGAAGACCTAGGATCAAATCTCAGCCGTTACTGACATAGAAGTAATTCTTCTCCAGACTTTCCTGAAACACAGGATTAAAAACTTGTTAATAATTAGTATCTAGTTACAATAATAAAAAGAAATTAGTTGCAAATTTATAATTAGACTTAAGTGGTCATATTAATTACTAACCATGACAACATTAGGCTTAGTACTTTTTTAAAGCTGTGAACGCATTGCTTTGGTTGATAAGCTATATCATACACACATCAATTGAAAGTTCTCAAAGAATTTTGGAAATCAATAATATACAGGTTGTCATGTGACCTGTAGCACTAATTTTGAAAGTGCTTACCTCAGTACCATTACAGTTGATGAATAACTTGAATTTGATTATTGGTTTGAAAGTTCTATATGTTATGTGTAACTGTGTAAACCATGATGAGAAAGAGCGTGAATAAATATAATATCAAAGTATAGTAAATTATAATAACTTTTCCACAATGTGGGCATCAAGAATTATATTACTTTTAGTACCCTTTGAGGTTACACTAGATGGAAAAATTAGTTTAAATATTATAAATAAAGCTCTTCCCCATAGCTTTTCAGCATATTTGTCTCTCTCTGTTGCTAGAAATAAATTGTAAGTTATAACTGCTATGAAAGGAGTCCTCTAGTGGGTAAGCATTAAGTTTATGGACTTACAATGCTAAAATCTAGGGTTTCATTCCCCACGGTGGACAGAGCACAGACAGCTCATTGTGTACCTTTTCACTAAAAACAAATAATGTAAATTAAAAACTAAAAGATGATATGCAGCGTACCAACTTATTTGTATGGAGTATTCAGCATGAAGTTATAGTTTACTTGATGCCTTCAAAATTAATATACTTTTATATTGTTCAGGAAGAATTGTATTAATGTAGTTTTATACAGCATATACCTTGTATGTGACAATTTCCAAATTTTTCCTTTAAAACAATTATCATGTTGTAACATTTTCTTCTATTTTGACAGGTTCTTCAAATGAGCGTGCCGACAGATGAAGAAGGAAGCTTTACAGAACTTCGAGGATTTGATAATATTTCATATATTACAAGGGATAAAGGAGATGAAAGTGGATCTGGATATGGAGATCCCATCTCTGAGTTTGATGATTCTTCACGGTACATGTACAGTTCTTCTCCAGGGGAGGGCACTAGCTCCATTGGACATGCTCCAACAATGAGTGCTGAGAGTAATATGTCTGCAAACAAGCCCCTTCTTGTAGACCCTAATGAAGTAATGATTCCAACAAAAAATCCGCTCTTCCAGGATTATGAGTAAGTCATATTATGCATGCATTTTTAAATTTTTACTGAACTGTCAGCAAATGTTTACAATGTTTCTTTGAGTGTAATTACATATTATCCCTGAGTTAGCTTCTTGAAGTATGGTGTTATAATAACTTTTTCTTTTTCAGCATGAATATTACTCACGCAGTTAACAGCTTATAATAATATTCTAATATAGTACTTACCTGCTCCCACAAGATTAGCTATTCCCATTCAATGCTGCCCTCTATATGCAAATATTTTCTTTACACATGCCATAAGCCTTGCACTCCCCCCTTGTTGGAATTAGTACATTCCATCATGTCTCTCATGCAAATCATCATGTGTCACGTATTAACCAATATTAGCATAGTATGCTCACATGATGCATGTGACTCCCTCTACACTCCTCTACCAAACCTTCACTTCTTATTTGGCAGCTTTCAAGTACACATTTTTTTTTGTGCTTCATGCTTCCCACATGACACATTTTTTATTTTCGTTTGAAGTAGGTTTTTTTTTTGTTTATACATTACCATACTTCTTCCAGTTTATTATCGTTGTTTTTCTGCACTAGACATTTTTGTGCAGTTTTCGTGAGTTATGAATTCCAAAGTCAATGTTACCATTTCTAATTTTGTTTGTCGGAGATTGAACTTCCTCCCCCATGTCTAGATGTCCATCTGTTCATGGAAGCTTCCCTTCATGGATGGTGACTTGAGTCAATCACCACGAAGCTTTGGGCTATTGGTCAGCAGAAGAACTCATCTTGGATATCTTCTGGTGGTTTCTTGAGTGTTATTTCACTTCCTTTCTCTCACCCATCACCATCTGGTGATGTTTCAATCTAACAACTCTACAGTGTTGGCTCATATCAACCACTAATGGGGCACCCAGTTCACAGATCTTTGTTTCCAGACCTTGGATTTTTTATACTGGGCCCAGGCACATCACATTCATCTTCTTGCATGTCATGTGCCGAGTGCTTTCACTCTGGTAGCAGATCGTCTTTTACGTATGGATCGACTCTACCCCATGGAGTGGTCATTAGATCCAGCATGGGTTTTGGATGTAGTTGACTTTCCAAGTACGGTCCGTTGCACCTAGCCACTCTACACCTTTCAATTTCTGCCCGTGTGTTTTACGAACTATACACAGAAGTGGTATTATTCCCCTCCTCTGATCTTCATATCTCTTTCTCTCATGGTCAGGGGTATTCTTTCTACGTTTTTGGGGGTGCTTCTGTTATTCCCTCGCACCGATACCTCCTCTTTCTCAATATGAGATTCTAGGGGATCTTGATACTGAAAATGTATGTCCAATCGGTACTTACCTCCTCTCACACTTTCCACCCTTCCTCCCCACTTCTCCGGTGCTCACGCCTTCTGCCAAACTTCGAAGTAAAGGTTCGGTAGAGGAGTGTAAAGGGATTCACATGTATCACGTGAGCATAATATGCTATTATTGGTTAATAAATGATACATGATGATTTGCACAAGAGACATGTTGGAATGTTCTAATTCCAACAAGGGGGGAGTGCAAAGCTTGTGGTATGCATAAAGAAAATGTTTGCTTATAGAGGGCAGCACTGAACGAGAATAGGTAATCTTGTGAGAAGATGTAAGTACCTATCAGAAATACATTTTCAGTATAGGAAAATTAGAACTTTTTGTAAATGTATCAATGCAGCACCAACTTGGAAAAATTCTGTATGCAAAAATACACTTAGTATCATAGAATCTTTTTACTTCTTGGATTGTCAAATGAAATAATGAATGTTTGGGCTTAAAAATAATTCTAGTAATGGACAAAAAAGTTTCTCTTAAAGTCCAATTAGATACAAGAAGCTAATTTGGACTTCTTTAAGTTTTTGAGTTTTAAGTATAATTTATCTGACATATAATCTGACTGACAATTTGTTTTTGTATTTAATTTGAGTAGAAGAGTCAATTTGCCAAAACATTTGGCCAGTTACTGTAACAGGTGATCAGGAGTTTGCTTTACATGTAAGACCCCAACATAAAAATACAGCTGTGATTAATTTTCCCAAACAAAATCATATTGAAGTCCTAAATGTATCTTTCAGTATAATATCAACCCATAAACTTATTTTTTCTTTAAATATGCATGTAAACTCTTGGTTTAAATGTAACAAGTGGAAAACTCTGACAAAATAATTTAAGGAAATTTATTCCTGTCATACTTCTTTATTGAGTTGAAGAATTATGGAAACAAAGGTTGATGTTTGGACCAGTAACTTTAACATTCAAATATATAAAATGTTTGTGAATCCATAGGACTAAACAATAATAATAAAAATTAGTCCATGCAAGATATTGGAACAACAACAAGAGCATTATATGAAAATATAAAAAGAAAGTAAGGCATCAAAACAATTAGATAAGCCATACATTCTTTATAAGTAGTCCCACAGTGGGACAGAGGTAAATCTACGGATTTACAACACTAAAATCAGGGGTTCGATTCCACTCAGTGAACAAAACAGATAGCCCGATGTGGTTTTACTATAAGAAAAACACACACTTTATTAGTAATAAACTGAGAAGTGGATTCTTTTACTGAACTTTCACTCATTACATAATCTTGTTTCTTTCTAAATTGGAAAAACTTACCATATAGTTAAACTGGAGAAAGACCAGTCAAAAAATCAAACAATATACATATCATGTTAGTGGGGTATTAAGGTCCACTGATATCCAGCAGATAAGTTTTAAAATATACTCAAAACTCAGATTCCATAACAATACACAAATAAAAAATCAAAAGTAAAAAAGTAAAACAACTTTTTATTCAAAATGTTCTAAAACCATACCCAACTGGTTGGCCTTTGGTGAAGAGTAGCATAAACCCATGTCTGCACAGGATAAGGACAAAGAGAATTCTGACTTACTGGTGAAATTTAAAAAAAAAGCTAGTAAGTGTGGAATACTAGAACTGAACAATGCATACATCCATTAAAGCTAAATAACATTTATATGGGAGATAAACCTGTAACTTGTATCAGTTTGTACAAGCATTTGTATCACCCCTTGAAATGGTCTCAACTCTCTCAGGGAGTTTCAGACACAATGTCAAAATGATATGAATTTCTAGCCATTGGTATATGCAGTTTTTATCTGAGTAAAAGGATTGTTACATATTTATGACCTTTCGACATTTTATTAACAAAAATTCCGTACTCTATGTAGAACACCTGAACAAAAAGTTAGACAAGTCTACTTGGATATATAGGTATGTTCTAAACTAGTTCTGGAAGGATGAAGTTCATGACTATTTCAGTCATTACATTAGCTGTGAAACCAACACTTATTGATTCAGATATTGATATACGTATATATTGTGAACTTGAACAAAATCATTTAAAGTAATATTGCTGTATGTAAAAAAAACAGATACAAGTTATGACACTAATATAAGTCACACAGTAACATCATTCTTATGAAAATCTTGATACCTAAAGTGAGTAGAATCACAACACACACAGCTAAATCACAAATATAGAAACAAAAACCTGAATAACTATAAAAGAAAAATCTTTATCTTTCAAAAATGAATGTTTAATTGTTATAGATATGAAATTGAAATATAAACTCTATAAGTATTAATTTAAATGAACCACCTTTTAATAGCTATATATATCAGTTATTAAAGTTAACTTAACTTTTACCATACACCAAAAAAATAAAAAAGGCATTTTTAGAATACATGTATATTTACATTAAAATTCTAGACAGAAGCGATAGAGTAATTACACAAGCAAGAGAAATGCAGTAACAAATCTGTATCATAAAAATAATTGTTATCAGTAGTTTAATTCCATTTCTCTGTCTTATATACAGGTTTTATGCTTCATTGGAGTATTAAGCTTTTGCAAATATTTTGTAAGATGCAAGAAAACAATTTATTAGGAAAACTTCAGGATTAAAAAATAACAGAGACTCAAAGGCTGAAAAAATTATTTTAGAAAGATAAATTCAGAAAATCAATATAGTATAGAAAAGTTGTTATTGTGTATTAGTCGTAATTTTACTTTTCTATATTATTAAGGATAATAGTATTGTATTTTATGATATATAAAGAATCAACATACAGTAAAAACTTTATTATCTAGCATCTACCAAACCTGGATAGTGCCTTATAGGAAAATTCTGGTTGCAAAAACATTTCACTTACAATATTTTATAGGAAACATTTTGACACCTTAATGTTCTAAAGTACAGTATTCTACCTTATATATAAACAGTTATAGTTTTAAACATTAATAAATGTTGTGAAAAAACCTTAAGCTGTATAAAAACATTTATAAGTACAGTAATTTAAATGTGAATTACAGTACAGCTAACAATTACAATTACAGTACAGCTATAGCAGCATCACTAAGCTACAATGAGCATTTGTATTTGGGGGTATTGAAAGTTTTGATTACAAGAGCTTTCTTGATACAAAGATTCCAGATAACAAAGCCTTTACTGTACCTTGTAACAACGAGTGAACTTGATGTATCATACTTGAGTGAAATGCAAACCTGTAGTGTGTTATTTTAAATCATTTTGATGGCACAGTTATTTTGAAGTCTGTAATATAATATTATTAATATCTATGGTGTTTTGAGTCAATTTTACTTCACCATATAGTAACCTAAATTAATTGTATGTGAATAATGTCTTGACATTTTTTTCAAATTCGCTATTAGATATTATACAGCAGACCAACTGTTAAATATTGTGTGTTGTAATTATATATTATATAGTATATACTATATATATATATATATTATATATATATAGTATTATTTACGTTTATTTTACTTAACG